AAACAAAGGTTCCTAGTGACTGCTTCATGACTTACTTTTAGTTAAAGTTGACTCTTTTTTTTTTTAAGTGAGACTCATATTTCTTTACTTTAGATTTTCCTTTTCAGAACAGCGTGTTTAAATCAAAACAACGTGGAAATTCCACCTCATACCAGAAAGAATGGCTATCATCAAGGACACAAACAAAAGAAAGTTTCCTGACAAGGTTGTATGGGAAAAAAAAATTCTGCACTGTTGGTGGGATTGTAAATTAATACAACCACTATAGAAATCAGTATGAAGTTTCCTTAAGTTATTTATACTGAAGATTTCAACCTTCTAATTTTTGCATGAAATGCATATATGCTCCTAGAAAACTGAAGAAACAAAGAATTTGAAGGGAAAAATTATTATTTTTCCTAGTTATCTGTGTTCTAGAAGATGGAACACTAGGGGTTTAAGAGTTAAAAAACTAAAACTAGAAATTATACTTGACCCAGATGTATCCTTAAGTTATTTATACTGAAGATTTCAACCTTCTAATTTTTGCATGAAATGCATATATGCTCCTAGAAAACTGAAGAAACAAAGAATTTGAAGGGAAAAATTATTATTTTTCCTAGTTATCTGTGTTCTAGAAGATGGAACACTAGGGGTTTAAGAGTTAAAAAACTAAAACTAGAAATTATACTTGACCCAGATGTATCTATTCTGGGTTTTGTTTTTGTTTTTTTGGTTTTTTTTTTTTTTTTTTTTTTTTTTTTCCGTTTTTTTTTTTTTTTTTTTTTTTTTTTTTTTTTTTTTTTTTTTTTCCAGTACCGGGGATCAAACTCATGTCCTTGCGCTTGCCAGGCAGGCCACCGAACCACTGAGCTAAATCCCTGGCCCCAGATGTATCTATTCTGGATACCTTCCCAAAAGATTTAAAGACATAATACTAGTGATACATGCCTTCCCATGTTTACAGCAGCACAACTAATAATAGTTAAATCTTTGAAATGGCCCATATGTCCATCAGCAGATGAGTGGATGAGGAAAATGTGGTATTTATACAAAATGGAGTTAACTTCTAATCATTTGTAGGAAATGAATGCACCTGAGACCACAATGCTAAGTGAAAAAGTCAGATCCAATTTAAATATCACATGATTTCTTCTAAATGAGAAACCCAAAATATAAATAATTTAAAGAGCAAAATAAAAAGTAGATGATAGGAAATGGGGAGGTAGGAAGAGGTCTGGGCAGAGTGGGGAATGGAAAGAGAGGTGAAACTGATTAGCATAAGATATTTATATGTATCAGTTCCCCAAGATGAATGTAATTATTATGTATTTACAACATGCTAATAACAATTACTAATAATAAAACAATTAATAATATACATTTTTATAATATACATAATATACATTATGAATATATACACAATATACACAATATACATTATAAATAATAATATACATTTTTTGTGGGGGTACCGGGGATTGAACTTGGGACCTTGAGCTTACGAGGCAGGCAGTGGCACCACTGAGCTAAATCCCCAGCCCTATATACATTTTTTTTAAACCAGCATCTTTGCACTTTTCTCCGTCTCACAATTTCACTATTTGTTCTCATTATTCAGAGATTCACCCTTTGCCTAAGTAAAGGTTGGGTTTTTTTTTCTTTTACAAAGAGTCTAACGGAAAAGAAAATCAACATTTATTTCTTTACTGCCAAAACAGTCTCCTGAAGCCCACACGTGATGCAATCATTTTGAAAGCTAAAGCTTTAGTTTTTCTTTATTTAGAGAGAGAGGTTTTTTGTTTGTTTGTTTGTTTTGGTACTGGGGATCTAACTCGGGCCCTTGCTCTTGAGAGGCAAGTGGTGGAACCACTAAGCCAAATCCCAGGCCCAACTTTAGTTTTTCAAGTGTAAATTTTTGTTAAGAAAATAAAGAATAATGCTGGGGATTTAGCTCAGTGGTTCTGCTGCCTGCCTCGCAAGCACAAGGACCCAAGTTCAATCCCCGGTACCAAAAAACAAAAACAAAAACCCAAACCTTTAAAAAAAAAAGAAAATAAAGAATAGTAGCTTTCTACATAGTCACCCGTGAAAGAAACATAGTATAGAATTTGTGTCACAACAATAAACTGAAATGGAGGAGGCTTACTGAATGCTTTGGCCCTTCAAATTAAATCTATATCACCCAGGATGCCAGCTGGGGAAGATAACACAACGATTGAAGCACTGGTTGAAAAGGTAGGAGGGACTTTGAACAATGGGACAGGATACATGCTAGCCACAGGAAGAAGAGCAGAGAAATCTTTGAGAAGCAGTCACTGAGTAGCCACATTAATAGCCTCGGACTATCCACCCCCATTTAGTGTACCATTGCCTGGTGAGGGCCTGCTTGTCATGGGTCATTGTGTGTGAAGTCCCATTCTTTAATGCTTTGAGACTATTCTTAGCTCACCTGAAGGACCCTATGTGTGTCCTTTCGTGTTCAGGAGATTCAAAGCTTCGCAGATTTGGTGGTGTGAAAGAGATGTATGGGAGAGCAGGCATGCTGCAGTTTCTGAAGATGAAACTGAGTCTCGCACGATTTTAGATGGACCACATTAGTACGCGTTGCATATGGGACTGCACTCAAACCTGCATCTTGGCAACATGCTCTGCAATTCCCCCAAGAGAAAGAAGGGTGAAGTAGCTTGGTAAAGAGATATTGAGCCTGCTCCTTGTCCACTTCCCTGTCTCATGGAAAATGACCACAGGGTCCTTTCTCTTCCATTCCTCCAGTTACTGTTGAGCACTGGACTTGCTCCTTGGCCTTCTTAAGGTTAACCTGGAGCCTTCTGTGCAAGTCAATCTGTTGGGCCATGGATTAGAGCTGACTCCTGACAACAGCAGATGACCCTTCACCTATGCCATGTGTCATCTGTCCCTTCTGGATCAGTGTCATCCTGTGGGACTGGGGATTCAGGGAGCTGACAGCATGCTGATGCTGCTTGTCTTCTGTGCAAGTAGGAAACTGCCTGACTCCACATGAGTTCATTGTCTCCCTCCTGGTGGAATGTATGGAATTTGTGTTGTGCCTCACAGCCCTGTTACCAACCACATTGCTGCTTAGGGACTTCTTGACTGCTTGACAATGTGGGAAGGGATATCCTGGGAGTTTCCAAGGGAGGAGGAGAGAAGAGTTATGAAACCCACCCTAATTATACAAGTTATCCATAGCCAGCTAGCTTATCTCAGAAAGCATAATGAGTCAGGTGATTGAGCTTCCTACTATCTTAAAAATGTAAAATACATACATAAAAAAAAAGACGCTGACGTGAGGACTGAGTGATGACTGGAAGTCCTACACCAGGGGGAAACTCACTTCAACGCGGAGAATAGGATTAGGAAGATGAGACTCTGGGAAAGAGAGAAGAAAGGAGAGTCCTGCTGATGGGAAGTTCCTCCTGATGTGTCAGACTCTGGACAGCAATTTGGCAAGACTACCCTGATATAGGACATAAGGGAGGAAAGGTTAGGGAAGATGAGTTACTCTTAATAACTCCATTATTCAAGCACACCTTACTCCAAAGTTTGTGTGCTTTGCACAAGGCTAGCTTGCCTGTACAGAAAGATATGCCAAAAATAGGAGAAGATTCTGGATTTGAAAATATTCCTTAGGAGTCAAGTAATAAAGGATGGTTCATCAGAAGAAATTGTGAGTGTAGAATAAGGCTAATTTCCAGCAAGAGGTCCACCATTAGTGACTCCCTCCCCATCCCCGCTGAGGAATAGGTGAACAAGGGAATAATGCTTGCTGATAAGGAGCCATCCTAAGCCCAGGATGCCTTCATCTCATCTTCAGTTAACTGTTTGTCATCTCCTTCTGCCAAAGTGCTTTCATTAGTAAACTGAGGGTGATGATACCTACCTGAGAGAGTTTGGTGGTAATCAAATGAGAAGGGCATTATTATGATAACAGGGAAATTTTGAATGTACAGTGCATATTCTAATTATTATATCTACAGTAAGCCTCTAGAGAATGAAGATGCAAATGTTATTGTGGCAAGCAGGAGAGTTCTTCATTTCATACTAAATTCTGTAGTATTTAGGAGTGAAGCTTCTTATGTCTGCAACCTCCTCTTCAGAGGTTTCGCAAAGAAGCATGTACACACACACACACACACACACACACACACATGCACACAGGTACACAGACTACAGAAAGGATAGAGATGTGGCACAACTTTGACCACTGGGGAATGTAGGTGAAAGGCATAATAAGGGTGCTTCCTCACTCATCTTCCAACATTTCCAAAGCTAGATATTTTTTCAAAATAAAAAGTTGATGTGTGTGACACATGACAACACTTAGCTATCAAACTGGAATCACTCTAAGAGCTCTTCATTTTCATAGGGTCAGCATCTGAACATTGGCTCTGCAGTAGGTGTTCATCCAGCTTACAAGGAATAAAGTAAAAGAGAAATAGTTCTTTTCTTTTCTTGTTTTCTCCAACTACCTACTTTTCTTCACTATTCTCATTTGAATTGTGCCTTCATGTTTGTTAAAAAGTGTAAGCTGCTGTTAAAGCTTTGTATATCAGTGTGTGTGTGTGTGTGTGTGCGTGTGTGTGTAAACTTACCCCATTCCACCTCCTACTACATCTAAGATCAAATTGGAAAGGCTAAGGTTGCCAGAAAAAACATAGGACACCCAGTTAAAGTTGAATGTTAGATAAATAGTGAATCGTTTATTTAGTAAAGCTATGTCCCAGATACTTCACAGAGCCCAGATTTTCATGGGCATACTTGTACTAAATTTTTAAAATTATTTATCTGAAATGCAAGTTCACCCAGGCATCCTGTGTTTATATTTGTTAAATATGGCAATCTAAGGAAAGCTCATTTCCTTAATGTATAGGGTTGACCCTGCCCACCAGCATGATTTACCCAAGAGAAAGTGTTTAGAGTTCTTCTATGTTTTATACCACCACGGAAATACTCTCTCAGCCTTCTTAATTATAATACATTTGAAGGATTGCTTTTTATTTGTGATAAAACCTATAGATAGGACATACATACAGATCACATTAAAATACATGAGGATGATAACCCGCCTTAATATACAGTGTTGGATAGGTGGCACGATTAGTAATTGCACATTTATTGTATACAGCATCATAACGTCAATGGATCTCTTCTCAGAAGTACTCGTGTATAAAGAGTACATTTAGGCAGTTAGCGATAGAGTAAGTGCATTACAAACGCTATTTATAGAGCTACGACCTCAAAAATTTCAATCTAATTCCATCTTCTGGGTTGGTGAACCGCTTGATAAATGCTCCTGACTTACAACAACCTTCCAGAAGCACAGCTGGGAAAAGTTACAGAGACTGGCAGAAACAATTGCAGAGACTCACGTAGGAGCGGCACTACCAGTCCATGCCATCACATGCGCACCAGACATATTGCACTTTCCTGAGTTGAACTTGGAAACTGGTAGCCAGATGCAAGCTGGCACAGTGACTCCCCCCCCAAGGCTGGCCCTCACTGGCGGTAGTAGTAATCTTGACCATCATAGCCATCGTAGCCTCGGCCTTTGTAGTAGCTGTATTCATCCTCATAGGCTCGGTAATTGTCCCCACGAGGCTCCCCGTTCTCACTGTCATAGACTTCATACCCAGGGTCGTATGCATTGGCACGGCTTTGCTCATACTCAGCACCATACTCAGCTGTGGTGGTCTTTTCATAGGGTGGGGAGGTGGACCCATAGACGTTGGGCGCTGGGGTTGTGGGTTCAAAGCCACCATTGGGAGAGGGTGTTGTCTTTGAGCTGCCAGTGCTCTGCCCCGCAACCACTGTGGTTCCTGCCATGTTGGCTTCTGTGACGCTTTCTTCACCTCCTTCTTCATCTCCGTTGTCCGCACCACTGCTACCGTTGCCATTCTCCACCGCCGTGCTGTTGGTGCTGGTGCCGTTCACAGCTTGTTCATTTTCATCCACTTCCGCTTCATTATTCTCATTTTCATTCTCTTCCTCCTCCTCCTCCTCCTCCTCCTCTTCATCACTTTCTTCTTTTTTGGTAGCCTTGTATCCTGTATCCCCAGCCTGGAAGGAAAGGTTTCAAGGAATCTAAATTGAGGTGTGAAACAGTTTCAACTTAAAGCCATTGCTGCACGCGACACAGTACTCTGTGCCAATAACCTTGTTTAGGTTCTCACTGAATGGGGGCCACTCCAACTCACCAAAGAGCTGGTGGGGCTCTGACCCCTCAGTATGAGGATGTTGGCAATGTGCTTTTTGGGGGTGGGGGATGAGCCTGATAAGCCTTCTCAGGTGGGGACCCTTGCCATAACTTTGCTACTCACTTTCTCTGCCTGACATCCCCTCCCCTGAGATGCAGTGGTCCCTCGAGGACCTTTATCTATTTTTCATTGCCTGTCCTTGGTCTTCTGTTAAAATGTCGAAAGTCACATAATGACATGAAGAAAGAACTGCCTGGGAGAAGATCTTTCCTTATTTGTATATAGGAAAATGAGGCCTGTTCTGCTTTTTCAATGCATTAATGGAGACAGCACCAAATACCACGTGTTCAGCGTGGGGGATAACCTTAGACTTCCATAAAGAAAAAAGAAAACACACTTAACCCTTTGGAGGAATTATTACCTTTTTTGGGAGCTGGATCGCAGCTAACCCTATGTAATCTGTTTCAGGAGTGGTTTCTTCTCCATAGCCAGGTGTTACACTGGAAAGTGTAGTGTTCACAGTCTCAGATTCTTCATCTTCGTTTCCATTAGAATCTTCATTGTTTTCTTCTTCATTTGAAGTCTCCTGGAGAAAATATCCATAGCAAAAAAAAACATACAATCGCTGGAAGACAGCTCAAGATTTATTGGAGCTGTGAACCCCTCTTTGAAAAATCTTTAGATCTTTTGGCAGCTCATTCTTCTGCCTCTGCTCTTGACATTTGTACTTCTCAATTCTAAGAGTACAAAGTTATCTAACCCTATTTGCCACATGAAAGTGCATCTCAGATTTTTCTTCTTTCTGTTTTACCCAGTTCAAAAGTATTTGTGTTTCAAACACCTGACACAAAGTCACTTTTTCTGTAGGAAACAGAAAATAAATAATCTAAGAAAATCTTAATAGTGTATTATATTATTGCATGAAGACTTTAAAAAAATTTACACTCTTATGTTTGCAAACATTATACTAATTTATCTTAATTCTGTCCTCTTAGGGAGCTGTTTAATTGACCTAATTTCCAACAATAAAAGTCAAGAGTTTGTATATATAGACCTTATTAACTTTAAGGGAATATTGGAAATAGATTCATTTCAAATGATTTTAGGAGAGTATAATGTTCAGATAACTTTATAATTTCAAACAAACAAGGAAACAAAACCCAGATTTAGCTTATCTTATTGACAGAGAATGACCAAAGCAGAATATTTTCGTTTCATTAAATTTGTAAATTCTTCAGGTTCATTGAAGATTCTTGCTATTACAAGCACCTACCCCATAACCATGACCTAGCTAATTGTGTCAAGTCCTTACAAATACATGTGAATACAATTCTTGGGGACTCTATATTTAGCCTAAATTGTCTCTGAAATTTCAGGGTCGAAGATTCCCATTTTTTATCTATTCACATTTCCATTATTATTATCTTTAACGAAGGGTCTCCAGAACATTGGTTCCTCTGAAATTTCAAAGCCAAACCACCAAAATATTTACTGGGTGCCACATATGTGTAAAAAAAATGTGCTAGGCAGTGTGAGGAGATCTAAAAGAGTGTGCAGCTCTATTCTTCCCCCCAAAAAAACATTCTAACCTTGATCTTCTAGATTAAGAGGAGTTTGTAGATAGGATCTGGTAGGATATACATGTTCAGGGGAGGTTGATAAAATTTTAGATGACTTCATGAGAGTCCCCAAAGAGACCCAAACTTCCTCCATCCTCATTCACTACTACAAATGAAGCACCATTGTCAGAAGATAATCGGTCTAATCAGGAAATGTATCTGAAAAGGTAATCTTACAACCACTGTGGGAAAACAGCTGTACTTAGATGGATAACCCTAGCTTGGTTCTTGTGGAAGATTGCTATGTGAAACTCCAGGGGGAATTTTGTGGGATTTAGTAGGTGGCATTTTTCCTGGTACTGGCATGGCATTCTTGTAAAGTCTCCTTTTAAGCCATTAGTGTAATTAGGGTATGGGAAATGTACTTTAGAAAAACCAAGCTAATAATTTGTCACCTTTCATGTTCCCACAGCATTTTTGTTTTCAAGGTAGCTGGCCCTTATATGTAATCTCTTTTTTTACTGTCATTGTCTATTCACGAATACCACCCAAGAAAACCTCAATTTAGAAGGTTCCAAGCCAGCACAGAGCTAAAATTAACTATCCAGGAAAATGCATCCTAATTAGTACGTTTCCTTAGGCAAGAGTGTTAGTTATAAATAAGATAGCACAATTTCCAAGATATGTAGATTAATTTTAGCCATAGACTATACTAATTTGTAGGAAGATGTGTATATGTTCTGAGTATTTTAATTTCTATAAAACATAAATTATATTATTACACAAAATGTTCATGAAACTCCCATTTAAAAGAACGACCCAATTCTGTTCACTATGAAAGGCAGATGAATCACAGTGCCTTTCGAGAGGATGTGAATTGGCTTTTTTAGACTACCCACTTAGGAAACCGAATTTCTAAAGTTTAGTCCTTCAAACAAGTATTGTGTTGAGTTTAGGACAATTATATTTACTTGTCATCTACCATCGTGTTCACTCAGGTTTTCATCACCCGCCTAAATATAAATACTATCTATTGCTTTTCAGCAGATATTGTATTTCTTTCACTTAAAACAGAGATATTTTTGTTTTCGTGTACCATTCATAGGTAACTTGAAACCCAAACTACAGTAGTGTTTTAAAGAGGTTATTTTAGCTGATTGTAGTTTAAATAACATCCCTCTCGTTCAAAATAGTAGACTGTGGGCAGTTAGTAAAGTGGCAGCAGCTTTTTGCTAAGCCCAGATTACAGTAGACTACTTTCCTATTTGTTTTTGTGCTGCCTGGCTTGTTTCAAAAAAAGACTGAAAATTTCTCACCTCGTCTTCCTCCTCTTCTGAGCTATCACCACCTCCATTTTCTTCAGAAGAGTCACTATTTCCCTTCAAGAAAAAATATGTGTGTACATACATAGTCAACATCAACTAAAATTTCCTACGGTTTAAAATAAGATAAAATAATAATACTGAAACCAATTAATACCACCAGTGTGAGTGAGTTATTCACTTACAACATGTCTCATGCTAGTGTGAAAAAGGTGTTAGGCACATATGAAATGAGAGGCACCCCATTTTCTACCCCGCAGCATTGCCGCTATGCTGAGACGTGTTGCATGTAAAAACCAAAGAGGGCTGGGGATTTAGCTCAGTGGCACTATGCCTGCCTCACAAGTGCAAGGTCCTGAGTTCGAACCCTAGTACCACACACACACACATACACACACACACACACTACACGTGAGTAAAGAATCACAGGATTATTCCAACATGAAAGAATGAAGGAAGCATCAGGTCCAGAGTTTTAATTTCACAGAGAAGGAATTAGAGGCTCAACTTGTGGTTTTTCCCAACCAGATAAAGGTAGATCTTGGACTAAGACATAGATTGCATTGCTTTTTTCCCTTTATAAAGCATAAATAAAACAGATTCAGCTTATTATCAAATGCAAATTGTTACTAGATGATTCTTTTAAATAATGAGGCCTGGGTGAATTTAAATCAGAATGTTATTTAAAAGAAATTAAAGTTGCATCTGTATTTTCTTTTCACTTAATTAAAGCTTTTTTAAAAAAATAAGTTATATATATACATATATATATATATATGAGGTAAGTGTATAAATAAAAATGTACTCATTCAAGAGATTTCACAGAATAGCATTCCTCTGAGATTAATAAGAAATGAAAATGAAGTATCTGTATGTAAAAAGAATCTGTATGTAGAAATGTAATTATAGGTTAATGAGTTTTACACTTTTTTTAGTGCTTGTATCCAATCCAGAGACTCGTGAATTTCATACAAGTGCCTCACCATTGAGCCACATTCTCAGCCCAAGCTTCACTACTTTTTTTAAAAACGGAAATGTAAGTCTAAATATCTGTTGTCAACCTTAAAGACAGTAGAGGAGATACTTTATCTGTCTACCAAAGACAATCTGAACCTAGTTTGCAGCTTTTCTATCTTTTCTGAAACCACTGCTAAGGGTACCAGAACATCAAATAAATAGCTTCCATTTCTTTCATTTCCTGCCAGGCATGTTTTAGCTTTGGTTCTGATGTCCCATGTGGAGAGAACATGGCTGCAGAAAGCCCCGAAGCTCTGCGTCAGGAATCAGATGGGAGAAACATCTGCACCCTCCTTCTTTCAGGGCTGTCCCTACCAGCCTCATTCTTCAAATGGCTGCATCATCCACCCAGCGAAAGGGGGAGCTTGTCCCTCCCGCCAAGAGTAACCTTGGGCGGAAAGAGAATGATTAGGTCTCCCTTCGATGCTGTGACCTTAACAGTTGTGTCTTCAACCCAGAGCGGGCATGGAGCAGGTTATCATATTAGAACTATTTCTACTTGTTTGTTAAATTAAATATAGAGGACTGTATATTTAAACAGTCAGAGCTGTTCTCAGCAATAGCGTTCTAGCCATTCTACCTGCCTCCTCGCCTCTGGCTTTCTCCCTGGCTCAGCCATACCGCCTTTCAGTCTGGGAGGGCAAATTAAAAGCTGTGTACAATGACTTGAAACATTGACACTTTCATTTCTCTCCCTCGCTTTCATTTATGCCCTATTGCCAATTCATCACTTGATCCTACTGGTTCCTCATAGATAGGTAAGCTATAGGAGACCGCTGATAGCTGTGTAATCCATGTTACGTATTTCAGGCAGGATGGTATTTCAGAAATTACTGTATATAAACACATGTGTCTGAATAAGACAGAAATTTCAAAGTCATTACAGCTTAGTGCATTTGAAGGTGACAATTTTGGATGCTAAATATCTCATCGAATACATTTAAGGGCCATCAAAAAGTAAAGAAAAAGGTCATAAATACTAGTTTGATGGATCAGTCGATATGCTTTGTTTTTATTGTGAAACACTTGTCTTACAAACTACACATTAGTTGTACACATAGACCTACTACATATAACTTGCGAAAATTTTGTATATTGAGGTTTATGAAATTTGGATCTGTCAATAATGAAAATTTGACTTCTCCCAGTATCGTTTTACTGTGGTTATTTTAGTTGGACCACACATACTTATGCATAAAATTATCTAGCTGAGAATACATACATATATCTAAGTATCAGATACTTCAGAAAAGTCGAGGAGGTAGTCAGAAATTTGAATTTACTTTCATTTGTGTTTAGTTTAAGACAGACAACAAAGTTCCAAATGAGCAGTTTATTCTGGGTCCTGAGGTGAACCAGGCAATGGAAGACAATTCAGAAAACCCACAACTCTTGTTTCATTTATGCTCATATTTCTGTGACCACACAGACTCCTCATAATTACAATGGTGCTAGAAATACTTTCAAATGGTCATTTCCTACCATTGTGTGAGTTAGCGGGGTCAGCCTGACACATGGTGAGATGCAGTGCCAAGCCACCATGCTAATGCAGCAATCTGAGCATCTCAGCTGCTTTCAGGGCCCCAGGAGTCCTGGGTCCAGTGGTGCTAACCGGTGCTCAGAATCTAAACCGTGCAGTAAGAAAAATAGTGGAGTCTGGTTTGCTGCATATTTAAGGTAGACACCACACCCTGTAGTTTCCAAAGGTTCTCTTTACAGGTAACCTAGTAAAAACAGAAACTCTTATTTTTAGTTGTAGTTTTTTGTCTTTTTGTTTACAAATTATGGGGATGTTTTGGTTTCCTCAAAAGCTATTCAATGCACTTTGTGAATTTCTCTCTTGCCTCTGCAGTTCTTGAACTATGGGTCCATTATAACTCTGCTGCAATGTGTGACATGTAGCTCTGTCACCTGTAAAAGCTAAAGGGTCAGAAAATCTTAGTAATTGCCCTTATCAAAGTGTCTTTTTAAGGTCACTGCTATTTATGAAATAAATTTTTCTCCTTACCAACTAGAGAGCTCTGAATTGTCATATTTAAAACAACTGTGTGCCAGTATTGCCTGAACTATCATGCGACGATGAACTTATCATGGCTTAATTGTGAATGCCCGAGAAGACAAATTGCTTTTGTCACTAAGTTAGCTAAAACACCTCAACTCCATGAGCCAAGGTGTTTGGTTTTATGATGTCATTCTAGATCGGAGCCTAAAAGATTTGTATATATATATCTCTGCTTTAAAAGAAAATTTAGAAATTAATTTTATTATGTGAAAAACAGCTTTCTCTAGTAAGCAGTTTTTCTGGGTGAATTTATCGGGAGTCGGATTAAGTGTTTTGATATTAAATTTGATCATTTTAAGTTGTAATATGAAAAGGAAAATTAATTTTTATGCTTACCTGAACTGCAAACCGTTTCAGAGGAGGGTACAAGTAGCCATACTTGTAAAGATAATATCGTGGCCTGTACTTAAAGACCTGCACAAACAAAATAAATGTTAATAAATGTTATATTCATTTCAGAGGCTCAATAAATCCAAAGCAAATTTAGGCCAAAGAAGTATGATGAAGTTAATTACCCCATTTTCTTCAGAATCTTCTAATTTGAATCTTCTTTGCAAATTTTTCATCTGTTTTAAAAGAGCATTTAATTATCACACATACTCTCTTTTACACACAAAAAAGACAAATTGGAAAAATAACTCTCAGGTTTTTATAAAGAACTTACTGAGAATGCACAGGCCATCCCCAAGATGCTGAGCAAAATTAAAGCAGTCTTCATTTTGGTGATTTCTAGAATTAACAAAGTGGTGAGGTTAATAAATATTAAAATAAGTGCCTGCTTTTTTGCTCATATCCAAAGACAAAGTATTTAATTCATTCTCACTTCTGTCTGATTAACATTTGGGCTGATTAAAACCAAATTTCTTGGCTGGGGATGTAGTCCAGTGGGAAAGCAATTGCTTAGCACACACGTAAGGCCCTGAATTCACTCCCTGGAACAAAATAAAAACAAACAATACACACAGGTGCACACACACACACACACACACACACACACATACACCACCAAAAAAAAAAAACACCCTATTTCTATATTTGTTTTCAAATTGCTCCTTCCATTTGAGTTATAGAGGACTGACTCTACCCATCTGAGTTCTTCTTAGTTTTCTATTTGCTTTTAGCCTGTTCTGCTGTGACCTGTCGTTGGAAGAGTGTTTCCTCACTGCAAGGGGCTTCGAAGGCTTAGAGTGTTTACACTGGGGCAAGGGAGCATCGTAGTATCACAGACATGGGCAAGTCAGCTACGTGGACTGAACTGTGGCAGTGGTTAGGTATGCTGTTTGTTTATAACTAAAAACTAGACAGAACTTGAATGTGTTTAAATGATTGCTTTCATGCAATGAGCTACAAGCACTTTACAGCTTCTGCACATAAGTTTTGCAATAAAAGTTCACCTGTAAAATAAGAGGTAGGATCGTTTTTCTATGAATATCTCAGAATGCTTATTTGTGTGTGTGCATGCCCATATACATAGAGGGGCAGGGCATGACAAGTGAAGTACCATTCTCATAGCATATGAAGCTCAATAGCCATGCTATGAGAAAACTTTTTCCGAGTCTCCTCTTGGGAGATTAGTAATGACTTCCCTTAAATCAGACTGGCCTGGAGTACCATTAGGTTTTTCATCTGCTAGTGTGGGAGACTCTGATAGGATGGATTAGAGATCCTGTGGGGTGCTAGACATGGATGGAGACTGCAGTCCTGTGGTACAGTTGATACAGATCTCAAAATGGGAATAGTTTCTAACAGCGCCGGGCTTTGCAGTCGTGAAAATCCTCACTTCCTAACAGACTCCTCATAAGTAAGAGGAGGTAGTGAAATCTTATCCTATTTTAACTTTACTATATGGGATAAAATTATAATTTAAATTTCTGTCATCTAGAGGTTGAATATATTTAGCTGAAGGCCTACTAACATGTGCTTACTTGCATTTACACGCATGTGACTGATACAGCTGCCTTGTTCCTTGTGACAGTTTGGCAGCATTTTGCTAGCAATGGGTAACCACGATGGGTTTCCCCATAAACACGCCTCAAAAAGCAATATCTAAAATGTGAAAATTCCATGTCATACAATTGTTCCCTGCAAGTAGAATTTGCATTTTGTCCTTGTCACTCAAGAGCCATTGCATCCATATTGAGTATGTGACCCTAACAAAATCGTACACCGAGTAAGGTGTGAGGCCTGGCTCTTACGCCACTCTCCATTTGTGGGGCAGAGTGTGGCCTACACACTTCCTCACAGTACCCCCGTTAAAGAAGCTTGCATGGCTACGGTGGTGCTTTGAAAAATGCTTTGGTTTTTGCAGCCCGTGGTGGAGCCCAACAGCACACACAAAGATTATTGCTATACAGCACCACAAAAAGACCTTGGATAATGTTTGTAATATTTTATAAAACTAAAATCTTAAATACATAGGACTCTAGAGAGAGTTAATGATTACATAAATTTCTCATAAAAGTCATAAAATAACCAGATGAAAACATGGCAGGGATAATATTTTCAAAAGAACCAAGTAATTTATGTGTACAGCAATTGCCTGCCTCATAAATCTCATTTTATTTACTTTGTGATTCATCAAAAGGCAAGCACTTCCGTACCACTACTAAGTCAGGCAATTCTTAAAGGATTATTTTGAGAATTTGATTACAAGTTTTTATTGGGAAGAATATAATAAGTTACCAAAATAATGTTTCTTCAGTACCATATTTTTCCATAATGATTTTAGAGCTATAGAATATTAACATTATGAAACCTAACATATCATACCATAAATAGAGCTGAAGAACAGAGTAAGTATAATTTACCCAGGCAAAATCACAAATGCAAAATAATACTTCAGCCAGTTTATCTTGAAAGTATCATGGTGAGAGAACAAACAGCACTCTACTGTGAGCAGAAATAAAAAAGCAAAATGCATCATTTTCTAGTTCACATTCACATTATTAACAGCTTATTTACATACTTATGTTAACAAGCTAAGACCTTTGGAAAGAATCTAAAATCAGAGGAACTAGTTTAAGGGTAAGCAAATGATAAATCACATAGCTATTCTACACAATGCAGTGAGATTCACATTTAAATAAAAGCCCAAAGCCCAAACAGAAAGGTGAGTGTGTAGTGCCTGGTTCTAAGGCAGGAAGCTGTCAGATGGAGTCTTACCCCGTGGCAATGCTGGAGCAAGCAGACAGGCTGACCAGTGAGGGACACAGATTGAGTGCCTCCTCTGCCCTCACATTCATTCACTTGCTCTAGCTTGCTATAAACCTTTCTTTGCCTTTCAGCAGCCAATCACTGTCATGGTCAGGGTGATGTCAGAATGTGGATTCTCACCAGAATACCCCCAAACTTCAACACTCTTTCAAGACACAGGCTCTGTTGAATAAACATGAAACATAGTCCCAGTGCCAAGAGGTTTGCATTGTGGAATTTAATTGAAGGTTTAGATGAAGATGAATAGTTTGAGTTCCAAATATATATAATAATATACTGGATTTGAATTAAAATAAATAGCAAAAGATTTAACCATTTAAAATTTTTATAATTACTCAAGTTTTCACTATGTTGAAAGAAAGGAAAACACTATCATCACACACAATTCTACTTGGTGAAAGAAGGGAAAAAAAGAGAAAAAAAGAAACTAATAAAGGAAAGTTTTTTTTTTTTTTTTTTTTTTTTTTTTTTTTTTTTTTTTTGGTATCGGGGATTGAACTCAGGGCCTTGCGTTTGCAAGGCAGGCCACCGAACCACTGAGCTAAATCCCTGCCCCTGGTATTTTAATATTGATTATTTTGTTTTTATTTCTGAAATGTGCTTCAGTGACTCATAACAATATTAAATTAATCAGACTTTATGAGATATATTTTCTAAAGCATGATGTTGACTGTAAAGTTTAAAATTCTTTTGACGATTCAGCTACTAAAGGCAGATTTAATTTTTGTCAAATAAATTTTTTTAGATGTTTCATTTATGTGTCATGCAAATTCATTTTATTTTGAGAGGGATTCTGTATAGCTCTTGCTATTCATTTCCGTATTTTTTCCTATGCGCATAGAAAAATTATTAAAGCTGGCAGTAGTAATCCATTATTATTGAAATTATCCATGAAAACCAAACCCCAATAAATGGATTTGTAGATCAAAGTATTAATTTTTTAATTTGCAACAGGAAATCTAGCTAGTCTATAGTTTGCATATTTTTCTCATCCGGTCATTTCATTCTTCCTTTGATCACAAGGTCTATTTCACAACAATTAAAGAAACCAAACTTAATAAATATCATTGCGTGCCAGTCACCTTAGAATCTTTGGATGACTTACCCACAAAAAGGTGTTTCACCAAGGTTGCTTAGAAAATGTAGAATCATGAAATCTGAGTGGAAAGCGCTCTTTAAATTAATTTAACCCCACACATTTAGTTCAATTTAGGGATCCCTGAATTATAGTAGACTGTGTTATAGGATAGCTTAAGAAGAAACAAAAAAACAAGAACACATTAAAAGAAAAACCTGGTTCTTGTCTTTAAGACTTTCATAGTTATGTCAGGAGAAAACTATATAGCTCTAGGGCACAACAACTGAAATATCTACAAGGTTCAGAAACACTATGAAATGCAGAAGTTCAACTGGACAAAAGTGCAATAGAGCAGGATCTTTACAGAGATTAGCAGTTGCCTACGTTATCAAGAGGAAAGAGGTTGCCAAGAAGGAAGAGGAAGCATTTTTAGGAATGGACCCAAAGGATAGGAAAATGTATTAAACCCGATATATCAATCACCACGTCATTTTGGGGCTCCCGTGCTAGTTTTCCACTTGCACCGTTTCACTCATTACATACACACACAGAAAAAGGAAAAAAATCTGAGATTATTCCCATGATACAGATGAGATAAGAGAGGCATAGTAATGATAAGTATGTCCTGGATTGTGTCGTTAATACATGGGGTAATCAAAAAATCAAAGTCAAGTCAAATTCTAGTGCTCACAGTCACTGCATACTTCGCTGGCACATTCAGAAAACTGGACCATGATGAGTAGAAGCAGCAACAAATGAGATGATAGAGAGACCTGCAGGTCCCACTAATGAGGAGGGAGCTCATAATAGAAACTGAGAAAACCAAGAGGTTAAAGCAGAAAAAGAACGTTCAGATCTGCAGTTTGGAAAAATCATTTGATGAGAATACAGAGATGGGTGAGGAAAGCAAGACTGCTAGGAAGGAAGACAACCTGAAAAAGCTATCTTAGGGGCTCATGAAAACCACGATAAATTCTGAACTCAGGCAGTACTTGTGAGCTTGGACAGGAGGAAACAAGTGAGAGAAAGACAGTACCGGAATAACTCAACGGAAATAAGAGAGGAGGCCTTCTGGATATCCAGTTTGGATCATTTTGGGAGTGTTGCTATCATATCTTACACGTGTTTCATGGAGTACTACTAAGTTCTAGTCATTTGGCAAGCATTTGTTGACAGTGACGTAATAACATAATGAAGGGTAGAGGCTGAGAATCAAAAGTCTGGGGTTTTATTCTTGACTTTCCCACTAACTTGATTTTCTTAGCTACTTTGAGGTTTCAATTTAACTAATCTTTTAAACACTGAGGATGTTTACGTCGAAATAAAATTTTAAAAAGACCAAGACTGTGTGTCTCCCTCACTCACTCATAGAGCCTGCCAGCCAACTAATTGAACGTGAGTGACGAGGTCTCCGTCTACCAGGTTAGAGGAAACAGAGGTAGAGACGAATACGTAAAAGGACTCCGCTGGGATGTAACCAGCAAAAGCCAGAGGGGAGGAAACATTACTACCTGGTTTCTTCAACAAAGTAGTACAAAGAATAAAGTGGAAAGGGAAATCATACATTTTAGTAGACTTCAGAAGCAAATATAAAGAAAGTGATAAGCAGGATACATATTGAAGATATACTCCTAAGTGAAATAAATAAGTCCCACATGTGTAAATACCGAATAGTTTCCCTGGTGTGAATATTCTGCAACAATGCATAAGATTCTAATAAGATTACTGACATTTAGAAATGGGAGGAAAGGAGCTAAAGATGTAGGGAAGGTGTGATACGTAGGGGAAGAACAAAAAGGGAAAAGAAAAAAATGTGAGAGAATGAAAAGATGAAAATAAAGTGTTTGTAGATGGGGAGGGGAGGAGGGGGTGAAGGGAGGGCAGAGGTAAGGGGAAAAAAATGAGAATCAAGACTTGCCATGTAAAGGTACATGATCCCAACAATGAATGTAACTGTACTGTATCCCTAAATGTACCAATAAACTCAATAAAAAAAAAAAAGTGATAAGCAACTGGAGAAACGTTGAATGTTCACTTGGTATTTTACAGTAATTACAGTTAATTTTTAAAGGTCTGATGATATTTTTTTTATTTTAAAAAATGAATTCTTTTAGAGTTGAAATAGTTCTCTGTGGTAGAGAAGATAATAAAAGTTTGATCATAAATTGAAATAGTTGAATTCCTGATAATTGTTGAATGGCTTAGTCAGGATTCATGGTACTTTTCTCTAATTTTTGTGTATTTTCAAGTAATCTCTAAAAATATTTTTTAAGAAAATGATTAATCTAGGTGCTTGCTACAGCCTTTTCAATTTCTAATATTCTGTGATTCTCTATTTTCAATAACTTATTAGGCCCCAGATACTTCCCAGTAGTCTCCTAGCTAGTAAATTGATTTGGTTTATCCAGTTTTTTTTTTTTTTGGCACATTCTTTCTAAACAATAGTGCTGGAGAAAAAAAAAAAAATCTGGCATCCTAACTTTGTTTTCTATAATCAAGGTTGTCTTAACAACACTATTTTTTGTCTATTCTTTTTTCCCATGAAGCTCATTGGTACATTTTGGGTGCACATTATGATCACACTCAACACTGGAATTTGTACCTGTACATAATGTATCTTGGTTCTCGTTTTTTCCGCATGCCCCTTCTCTTCTTTCCACCCCCTGCCCACCCCTATTTACAAAAAGTTTGTTTTCATTTGTTTCTTATTTTCTCATATTTTTCTTTCGCTTCTTTCCTCCTCCCCTTTCCCCTCCCCTTTGATCTTTCTCTTCCTGCTTTACATTATCTATTATACATTTTGGTCCTCACACTTTCAGTTTTTCACACTAAAGAAACTATTTGATATTTTATATATGTTTGTCCTATTTGTTTCACTTAAGGATATGGCCTCAAGGTCCACCCATTTAGCTATAAATATCTCCAGTTTATTATTCTTAATAGTAGAGTAGTACTCCGTTTTTTAGAAAAAACACCTCTTCTTATCCAGTCACCAGTTGATGAGCATTTGGGCTGTTTCCAAGATTTAGATATTACAAACTGCCACTATAAACATGGCTGCACATATACTGCTGCGATATGATTCTTTTAATTCTTTTGGGAAGATACCTGGCAGGGAATATCTGGATCACTAATCCTAGTTCTCTGAGGAATCTCCACAATGATTTCTACAGCGGTTGCTCCTGCCTATGCTCCCACCAATAGTGATCCACCACACTATTTACTACATTTTCATTATCTTACTACTCTCCTGCATTTAAGCCTGTTGTTATGAATCAGTCCGCTTTGATGGTGTATGAACATTCACTCGTGTTATTGGTCTGCTGTCAAGCTCCACGGTGAGATGGGTCATTTATGGTAAAACCCCACACCCACCCGGATCTACCTTATTTTTAACCTGCTGCAAGTCCTGTGAGCACCACCCTCATTTTTCTTTACACTCTAACCTTTTCCTTTCTTTCTTTTTGCTTTCTTGTTTGGTCACGCCTTCATTATCACTTTCCAGGATACAGTAGTCACAATCCAACGTGGAACACTTGGGTTATCGCCTCCCCCCCATTCATTCTGTGACAGAATTTGGAATCCAATGTCAGGGTGAAATCTTGGTGGTATTCATGGTAACTCTTATTTATTTTCTTTTTATGGTAAGAATATTTAGCACAAGGTCTACCTTCCTCAGTGTTACAAAATGCTGTTAACTGTATGTGCACTGGTACACAGCAATCTCTAGAATACACTCATTCTGTATAACTGAAACTTTGTATCTCTTTACCAGCAAGCCTTCATTTCTCCCTCCTCCTGACCCCTCATCACCACTATTCCATTCTGATTCCAAGTTTAACTATTTCAAATTCTGTCAGTGTGATCACAGAATATTTGTTCTTCTATAACTGGTTTGTTTCATTTAGCATAATGTCCACTTGATTCATCTATGTTTCTTATATTGTAGAATTTCCTTCTTTTTAAAGACAAAATAATATTCCATTGCATATGTATATCATGCTTTCTTTATACATTCATCAATCCGTGAGCATTTAGTTTATTTCCATGTGTGACTACTGTGAGT